GGGGAGAGAAAGAGAGGGGAGAGAAAGAGAGGGGGAGGGATGGATGAAAGAAGCAGACGTGGAGGGACAGCCACATCTTAAACACACAATTTTAAATGACTGTGATAAACCCTTCCCACTCTCTTTGCATGAAGACTGAACTAACCTCCAGCCAGCATTGCAACTAGAACAATGCCACACGACCAGATATCCACAGGTTCTGCACGGAACTCCTTTCTCCTCAGCAACTCAGGAGCAACATATGGCAGGGTGCCACACATCTTATTCAGTAACCTCTCACGGCTATTGTGCCTGTATACAGTCGCCAAGCCAAAATCAGAAAGCTTCAGATTATCTAGAAGGCAAACAAAAACAAATGGCTAGAGATACTACACATGGAGTCAAGGTCATTGGCGTAATTACAATCAAGCCCTTTTACAGGGTTTTCACATCGATGATGCACTGACTGTGGGCAGGTTTGCAGGCTTCCCTCACTTTGGTCACATAGCCAATAACAGCTGAGCAACATCCCACTGATGCTGCTAAAGCCTAACTTCTCAAGGATTGCTAAAGTTGTAGTTTATGGCTCTCCAAATGGAATTAAAAGAAATACTTCAGGAACACCTAAGAGACACTGATCTGCGAGCCAGGGTTAATTTCGGAACAAAAATAAAAGGAGCAAGAGAAGATTAACCGGCCTGTTGAGCCTGCACTGCTATACTTGTCACCAGGCTGAAAAATAGAGTAAATACAGGTCAAGTTTTTCTTGCACTGGCCAAAGGTAGTTGGATTTAAAGGTTTCCTTCCACTCAACTGGTCTGCTTGTTTGACAATATAAACAAGACATAGCATGAAGTGAGCTGTTTCTCCGTTTATGGCCAGCAGGAAATCAGGGAGCATCTGCTCCAACCCTACACATTGCTTACATCTAGTTTCACACACTGAACAAGGATCACCATCTGCCTCCACCAACCTTGATGATTATAAATTTGTGCACATAAATTTTTAGGATGGGGTCCGGGGAAAAACAAAGCTGGAAGCAGGAATTGGAATGAAAAACAACATTTTAAACATTAAGCCAAGGTAAACCTTTGTTTACACAGAATTACTACTCTTGATACAAAAAGTGTGGCATCAAGAAGCCGGAGTTAAACTGGAGTCAACGGGGACCAATGAGAAAAATCTATTAGTTAGAATTATACCTGGCACAAAGGAATATTGATTACAATCATCTCAGCTTCAGGATATCACTGCAGGGGTTCCTCAGGTAGTATCCAAGGCTCAACCATCTTTAGCTGCTTCGTCAATGATTTAATCTCCATCATGAAAGGTCAGAAATTGGGATGTACGCTGATGACTGCAAAATGTTCAGCAGATTTGGAACTCCTCAAATACTGAAGCAGTCTATGGTCAAATGCAGCAAATGTCTAGGTTTGGGTGGACAAGTAGTAACATTTGCTCCACACAAGTGCCAGGCAATGACCATCTCCAACAAGGGAGAATTTAACCATCACACCTGTTGGCATTTAATGGCATTACCCTCATTGAGTCCCCCACTATCAATATCTTGGGGCTTATCATTGACCAGAATCTGAACTAAAGTAGCGAGGCCTACAAGAGCAGGCCTGAGTCTGTGAATCATGTATGAATAACTCACCTCCCGACTCCGCAGAGTCTGACCATATTCTACGAAGCACCAGTCAGGATTGTGATGGATTATTTTCCCAATTGCAGTTCCAACAACACACCAGAAGCCTGATAACACCCAGCACAAAGCAACCGTGTTACTGGCATCACGTCCACAAACATTCGTTCCCTCCCCAACTAACACTCCGTAGCAGCAGTGTGTACTATCTACAGGATGCACAGCAGAAATTCACCAAGGTTCCTTAGACAACATTTTCCAAACCCACAACCACTACTATCTGGAAGGACAAGGGCAGCAGCAGATACATGGGAACACCACCACCTACTACTTTTCCTCCAAGCCACTCACCATCCTGACTTAGAAATAGATCACCGTTCTTTCTATTTTGCTGGGTCAAAATTCTGGAACTCCGTCTTTAACAGAATTGTGTGAGACTGCAGCAGCTCAAGAGGGCACTTCCGGTCATCATCTTAAGGGCTAACAATTGAAGCCCACATCCCACAGATGAATAAAAACAAATGTTGCATAAATAACATTAAAAACAGGTCATTGATCCCAAAAGTCCACACTAGCAACATATGGTCCCAATCAAATCTTCTCCAATCCTTACAAATTTAAACCAGCATTAGCCTCTATTGGCTACTTCATCATGTGCTTTAAGTGCATGTATATCATTCACCTCAACCAGTTCTTGATAGCATAATCCAGAGTCTTAACACCCTTTATGCAAAGATGTTTCTTCTGAATTCCTTACTTAATTTCTCAGTGAACAATTAATGTTGATAGCCTTCAGTTCTGTTTTGCCACATGAGAGGAAGCAACCACTTGTAAAGTATTTTATAGTTTTAAAGACCTTTAAGGTCACCCTTCTTCATTTTCCAAGAGAAAAAGACAGTTAGTTATCTACTCCTCATAAAAAGATTTACAACCTTGTTTTGTGTGTCCCCTCCACTACCTATGTCTTTTTAATATAATAAAGCAAGCGAAACCCCCACAGATGCCAGAGTGTGGTCTAGCCAAGGTTCGAATCAAGTTTAACCAGGTGACGTTTAGTCAATGTGAAGGTAGTAGGAACTTATGTTTAGGAAAATACTCAACCGGCAAAGTAAGGAAATACTTCAAGTCAGGACAGGGCAATTTCACCGTGGGAACAAGCTTAAGTTAAGCCATAGCATAGGTATGAACTCCAAGGGATTTCACAGAGTCTTTTACTGAAATGAAACAAAAACAATTCTTGTTCAAAATAACTAATATTCATCCAGCTGATGAGTGCACTCCCTACTGCCAGATGTATCTGTAGTAATTGATAGAAGTTATCACCCATCACAGCAACCTTAATCATGCAGATTCAAAAGATAAGGTAATGAAACGGGGTAAAAATTGCCAAAAAGATTATTTCTATCCTTTACAAGTTAGTTCAGACGAACAAAATGGCCTCAAATAATTTTTGGTTCCATCCAGTTCACTTGACTAAGGTCTACAAAACGATGAGGAACATGATAAGAATATGCCTTTTCAATATTAGAGTTGACATTGATTTAAGGTAAGGGACCGGAAGTTTACAAGACATTTAAGGAACAATGTTTTCACCCAGAGGGCGACAGGCATCAGAAACTCATGGTGCAAAGGGGCATAAATGCAGTGATGGTTCCAGCCTTTAAGTATTTAGATGAACATTTGAAATACCATACAAGGCCGCAGGCCAAGTGCAGGGAAGTGGGATTAAAAAGTAGATACTTGCTTGATGACCAGCTAGGATGTGATGGGCCGAAGGGCCTCCTATCATGCTGCAATCTGCTATTACCTGAAAGCACGCTGCACTGAAGCACAAGATCCCCATTAGATCCACACTAAAATGGTCATGCTCAATAGTAGAAATCAAAGAGTGAGGAACTGTAGCCAGGTCCAAGACTTTATACAACCACGGTTTTGGAAACACAGAAAACCACGGACAGTAATCAGGGCAGGAACACTGGTTGACTGTATCCTTCTCACTCATAGGCATTGAGGCCAACTGTTTTTACTGCATTGAGGTTCTGAGAATCCAGTATCAATGGAAAACTGAAACTGGAAATTATCCTGATCTGCAAGTCTCAAAACACTAAAGGTCATTCAAGAACCAATTTTTCCTGGGTCAATTTTCTTAATTCTTCAATTCATTTAAGAGGATTTATTTATCATCCAAATGCAAAATCAAGAAAAGTGGGAGTAGGGAGTGGACAGATGCTTAAAAACAAATTTAGTCACAATCACTGACCTTTCTTATAGGATTATCTTTTGCTTGTTGATGGGATGTGGGCATTGATGACTAGGCCAACGTTTATTGCCCATTCCAATTGCTCTTTATGTAAAGGAACATTCCTTTTGCTTTGTGGTTATCAAGTGCAGAGTTCAAACCCTACTCCAGGTGGTCCCAAAAGATGCAGACTGGAGCAGCAACTCTGATGAAAGAGGTAACATCCAACAGGAGACTCTTACCGGATAGCTCTAAGTAACTTATCCCTCGTCCTATTGTTTTGGAGCTCAATAAGCCTCACACAGTATAAGACTAAGGCCTTTCTCAGCTGGTACAAAGCTGACTATCACAACATATCAGACATTTTTGCCTGCATATTCCAACAACCAGATAATCATTTCTGCAGTATAGATCGGAGCCGTGGAATCCCCAATGTGGCAGGCACCCGGGGATTTCCCTGAGAAATTGAAGAGTCTGATCAATGGCACGTTTTGCTTCAATTAATAGTTACATAGGAAACATCGGAGGTTAAGAATCTAGTCTAACTCCTGGGTAACATTTAAGCTGACTCACCACATCCTCCCTCCTCTCTCTCCCGGACCCCAACTCAGAATCCTCCTCTCACTTTACAATCCATCTTTACTTACACATCCACCCTCTCCCTGCCAGACCACATATGCCCATTCATCCAGACATAAACATGCTGTCATTTATCTGACACCCCATCCACAATATGCCCTAACATCCTAACCCCACGCAATCTTAACATTCTCATCCTGTTATTGCAGCCGTCAGAGAGGTTGGCTGTGCTGCGAATTTAAAAACAAAAATCACAGAATACAGCAAAAGATGGGGACATCGTTTCACTTTCCCCAGTTATCCTGCACTACACGGGAGGTGTTAGATTTCAGGTACGCTGCATATTTTTGAAGGAACAACAATCATCTCCTGCCAGAAGTTGGGACATCATGTTGCAGTTGTACAAGATGTGGGTGAGGTTACTTTTTGAGTACTGTGTACAGCTCTGGTCACTCTGTTATAGGAAGCATTTTATTAAATTGGAGAGGGTTCTGAAATGATTAACAAGGATGCTGCCAGGACTGGGTAGTGTAAGAACAGGCTGGATAGAATCATAGAATCCCTACAGTGTAGAAAAAGGCTATTCAGCCCATCGAGTCCACACCGATACTCCAAAGGCCATTCCAGCCCAAGACCCACTCTCCTACCGTATCCCTGCATTTTGCATGGCAAATCCATGGCTAGCCTTAACATCCCTGGACACTGTGGGCAATTTAGCATGGCCGATCCATCTAAACTGCACATTTTTGGACTGTGGGAAGAAACCCGCACAGACACAGGAAGAACATGCAAACTCCACACAGACAATCACCCAAGGCCAGAATTGTACCCAGGTCCCAGGTGCAGTGAGGCAGCAGTGCTAAGCACTGAGTCATCGCTCGCCCATGCTGCAATAGGTTGGGGTTTTTTTCACTGGAGCGCCAGAGGTTATGGGGTGATTTTATAGAGGTTTATAAAATCATGAGGGGCATAGATAAGGTGAATACCAAACACCTCTTCCCTAGGGTAAGGGAGTTCAAAACTAGAGGGCATATTTTTAAGGTGAGAGGAGAAAGATTTAAAAGGGACCGGCGGGGCAACTTTTTCACATAGACGATGGTTCATATGTGGAATGAGCTGCCACAGCAAGTGGTAGATGCAGGTACAGTTTTAACATTTAAAAGACATTTGGACAGGTACATGAATAGGAAAGGTTTAGAGGGATATGGGCCAAAATCAGGCAAGTGGCACCAGTTTATTTCGGGAAACTTGGTCGGCACCGACAAATTGGACAGAAAGGTCTGTTTCTGTGCTGTATGACTCTACGATTCTAAAATGGAGGAAATAAGCAGCAGAGTGGCAATGATTGCTACTCCTCAGAAAATCCTGCCCCATATTTTACGTAGAGAAGAGTGTGACATCACATAAAGAACCTTCTCTACTCTACCTTGTTACCCACATCAGTTACACATCATTTGGTGCTCATGACTTAAAGCATTTGTTGTAAAAATTCAGCTCAAGCTTTCACAGAAACCTGGGAGGAATGGGACATGGAGAACGGTTGGCCTTTGTGCCTCCTTCATCATGAAAGACGAAAAGATCAGCTTTTTTTTTGTTCCATACCTCGGTCATCGAGCAGCAGATTCTCCGGCTTGATATCCCTGTGAGTAATTCCAATGCTATGAAGGTACTCCTAGGAGGAAGAAAAATAGAAGCCTTTACTCTGAATTATTTTACAGCGCCTCCAAAATCTCCAGGCTCACAAAATACAACGAGATGACAGACTGAAGTGAGAACTACAAATCCAAATATAGCAGGTTTGGCAGGGTTAACAGGTCAGATGTGGTTACTGAGCTATAGCTTAGGACCTCTGGTTTACAGTGCATCTGCTTTGTTTCGGCTTCAAGCAGGACTTCCAATACATATTTTGATATTTCTCATTTGATTAAAATAGAATGTGATAGTCTTAGTAATTTATAGCCTTGGTGGGTGGACAAACCCAATTTTGGCAGACATTGAAAATATACGTGTACGAAGGTAAGCACTACACAATCCACCTTTAGTTACACTGTCCGATGCCGCACAAGGAAACTTGCTGTAGCATGCCCCTGCAAATCGCATAAACATATCTAGTTTCAACACACCTAGTTTTTTTTTTAAAAGGTTCAAAAAGGCAAAGAATTAGTATTAGAAAAACCAAATACTGCAGATACTGGAAATCTGAAGTAACAACAGAGAATGCCAAACAAACAGCATCAGTGGTGACAGAAATGGAGTAAACGTTTCAAGTCAATAACGTTTCATTGGAATGTTCAAAGTAGTTAGAAAGTTGAAAACAAAGTTGTTGAAATTTAACAGATTTGGGTAAGAATAGGAAGTACATAATATAGACATCAACCATAACAGAAAAAGAAATAAGGGCTCTCAACTACAAACAAAGCATCTTCCATGAATCACACAAAACAGCAGACTTAGCTTGGGCCTATAGGGGATTCCACAGCAAAACATTTTATTTGGAAGTGAGTGGACTCAAAGAAGAAACTGCACAAGAACATGTTCAGCCAGACAGCGTGGTGATGGACAAACTTCCCTTCAATGAAGAATGAAAGTACTTACCACTCCTGCTATTAGCTGCAGGAAAAATCTATGAGCATCCACTTCAGGCATACCCACATCAGGTTCTACAGAAATACAAATCAAATCAGTCAGAGCATTAATCTGCTATTACCGTGGAATTACATAGGACAGAGTGCACAGAAACAGGTCATTTGGCCCAACCAACTCATTACTGTTGTTATACTTATCTAATTGTACATTCATAACCCTTTGTTGCCTTGTCCCTCATCTGTTTGTTCAGTTTCCTCTTAAACAGGTATATAAGATTCCCATCAACTACTCCCTGAGGTAGCCAGTTTTACATACTTACACCGTGTGGGAAAAGTTTCTTCTGAACTCCCTACTGGATATTTTGGAGACTCTTATATTCTAGCTCCTAGCTACACTCTTCATCACAAGAGGAAATTATCTCTGTATTCACTCTATCAAAACCTTACCTATCCCCATTAAGTCATCCTTATTTCCACCACATTCCACCCCAAGAAAAAAAAAAAGGCTCATCCCATCAAATCTTTCAATATGAACATATATTTCTGATTTCACCCTGGCAACTGTTTTCTCCATCCTCTCCAGCATCTCTAAATCATTTTTATAAGATGACGACAGACGGTACAGTACCTTGTAGCCTAATCAAAGTTCAAAAGAGAATTAGCACAACTCCCCTACTTTTCAATCATACATTGTCAAAAAATTAAAAATACTTGTGCCTGAAATTAAAGCATTTTGCTGCACACCAGTACTAATCGTTTGACTTAAATCCCATCCTCCAGCCCATGCTCAGACAGAACACAGTAGCATGATATTGCTCCCCAGAATGCTGTTAGAAGCACCACATATGGAAGGTTCACTGAACCAGCTAATGCAATGAACTAAAAGTTACTCCATTTGTTAGTGTAAAATCTGGCTGACCAAGCAAGTTCAAAAATGCACAAACCTGAAAAATACAAAAAACCTGAAGTCAGTTGTGGCACATCTTACTGCCCCAGTTCAGAGTAGCTGTCTCAACACAGATTGAAGACCAACCCCAAGACGACAATAACAACAAATTACATTCATATAACACCTTTGTTAAAGTAAAACTGCTCCCTGTGTATGAGATGAGCGTCATCAAACACTCAACCCCAGGTATGTAAACTACTCTACCAGAAGTCTGAATTCCAAGGGGAAGTTAAAACGGCTCTTAAAGAGGATCCCTGCCAAATACCAGTCACACCTGCAAAACCACCAATCTCAAAACTGAGACATCACCGCAATAGAGCATTCGCTGCAAATATTACAACTCAATCCTGAGGGCCTACGTGCTGCCAAGCAAAATCTGACTGGATATCCTACAACCCAACACTCCATTGACATCTTATGCCAGCAGGAAACCCATGTTGGAACTGAAGCAGTAACTTGCTATGGCATCAAAGGTTTTAACCAACTGAGCTACTCCCTCAAGTCTGGTCCAACACTGACAACATTGTCAACATTCTGTGACATTGCAGGTCAGCGGTGTTCATATTGCAAACATATACATCAAAGAAAATGTATGACTGCGCAGCGCTAAGTATTAAGATAAGCAGCAAAACTTGGATAAAGACTCATGTTTTAAGGAGAAACTTAGACGAAAGGGGAGATGAAGAGGCAAAGTGATGAAGACAGAAAATTTGAGAGCTTACTGCCCACAAGACTCTAAATAGTTCAGTACTAAGAAGCGCATTTTTACCCAGATGGTCTTCACAAGCAAACATTTACTGGAAAATTGAAGTTGCTTCAACACTACATAAGCCAGCATAAAATTTACCAGTTTGATATCAGTTATATCGTACTTTGTCTCCTTTGCCTTGTTATCTCCAAATTTGGCTATTCCGACACTCTCCTCATCATCATCCCATCATTTGCACTCCATAAACTTCAGCCAGTTCAAAACACTTATATCCCAATTCCTCATGTTGAATCCCATTCATTGAAAACCTCAGTGTTTTCTGAGCCACACTAGCATTTGTTTCTTCGACATTTCTTCCTTGTTTTCAGGTCCCTCCCTGGCCTCACTCATTGCTATTTCTTTAACTTTCCCAAGTCATACAAGATACCTACACAACAATTCTGGCTACTTACGTATTCCCAAACTACTCACTGCATAATTGGCTGCCTGAGTCCAAACTGAAAGGAGTAAAGTCACCAAAGTCCCAGAGGACCATTGAGCTGCTCTCTCATTATAGAGACACAACTGGGGATGGTTCAACCTGAGGGCCACTGCCCCCATCAGGCGAGGGGAGAGTTTGAGAAGAAGAGTCTGGTATGGGAACTGAACCCATACTATTGTCATCACTCTGCATTGCAAACCAACCACCCAGCTAAGTGACCTAACCAACCCCCAAATTACAGAATTTCCTCCTAAGACCCTTATTCCTTCTTTAAAAATTGACCTCTTTCACCGTGCTTTTGGTTCCACGCCCTAATAATTGCTGAGAATTTGTCAAATTTTGTTTGATAATGTTCCTTTGAAACACAGACATTTTACCATGTTGAAAGGTGTTATTTAATTGGAAGTTGTCTGTCTTCCTGCCATGTCAAAGTTTAACTGAGATTCCTACCTATTCGATCAAAGAGCTCTCCTCCACTGCAATACTCCAGAAACAAGTACTGGATGTTGCCTTCACGCCGATGTCCATAAAAACGGACAATATTTGGGTGGTTCAACATCTTATTTATGCAAATTTCCTTCCTGATGTTCTCAGGACAGTCAAGAGCACGTGCAGTGTCCACTTTCTTCACCGCGACTGCCTCCTCTGTTCTCCGGTTCACAGCCAACTGCACCCTAAAAAGGCAAACAAAACCTGCTCAGGCTACACCACTGAGGAAAAGAACACCAAGAGTACTGCATCTAATGCAGGACAAACATCTTAAGAAACATTCAAGGAAGCAGGCAACTTTTCAGGTGGTTTCATTTCTAATTCACCTCTTCCAAATCACATGAATAAGCAGTTGAGACTCACTCGCCATATGCTCCTTCACCTAGTGTCTGCACCAGATCCCAATCCTCTACAAATGGAACTGCCATCTTCTCAGGCAATCACCAGGAATACTGAAAATAAAGGAAGTTACTCATCAATACCAAAGAAAAGGATAAATTACACAAAAGAATTAACCTCACTTGGGATAATTTAACTTTTCCTCTGCCCCTCCAAATACAACTCCTGACTCAGAGCTTCAACTTCATGGACTCAATCACATCATGTAGAGCTGGATATTGTGATGTCTAAAATCTTTTAGGCCCCTTGGGACTAGATGATGGCAGAACTTGGATTATCCGCTGGGATAGTTGAGAACAGGCACGTGACAAAGGTGACCATTTTACTTTCATATGTCTAAACTAGCCTGAGGCTCTTCTCTCTTTTGGATCTGAGGTTAGCAATTTCTCCTGTACTAACCTGCGAAATATTCTGCGAAGCAAGCTCCTCACATTTAATTGCCTTATTTAATATTTAGGCTTTGGGGTGCCAAAAATACTGTTCAGTGTTTACAATTATTTCAAGCATGTTATTTAAGTAGCCACCCATTTAACCACATGCTGTATTCCAAAAGACTTGTAATAATGCTTTTCTTTCCTTCAGTCACCATGTTCTGCAGGCCAAGAGAAAATGTCTGGTGTTCGGATAATTTTGTTTATTGGGCAGCTGGATTTGAGGTACTTTGTCTTAATCTAACATTACAGAGGGTAAAGACTTCCAAAGATAACAATAATAACAGTATATTATGGGCACTCTTCCAGTTTGGATTTTTGTGCTCCAGCACTTGGGAACAGAGGAAATAATTATTAAGGGCACTGCACTTTGGGCACATACTTTTGAGTTTATGATGAATTTTCTGGCATGTACAGTAATGCTCATTTGCTTGAAATGTACTCATGAAGTGCTTCAGCACAAACTATTGTTTTCATCGATTGTGAAACCCTTTTCCTTTAGAACTGTTCATGCAGATTTTCTTGTCAAAGAGTTACACTGCCAGGCCCAGGTACTGTTGTCAGGCTTCTGGGCCAGTGCATAAATCCTGTTTAGTGATCATTAAGTAACAGCTTCTTCTCACCCACATTTAAACATCTGCTCAACAAAACTACCTCCCTGACCATGCTTCTGATCACTGCCCATAATCCTCCATTGGACATTTTAGCTTGCTTTAATGTAATGTACACCACCACAAGATCTGCATTAGCACCAACCCAAACAAGATATCATATGGACCACAAATCAACAATCATTAGCTTGTTAAAAATGGCAAAACAGAGATCGAATAATCGACAGCATCGCAACGCACCAGAGGTTCAAAGCACAAAGCAGAGAAACCACTCCAAAAATAGTTCAGAGTGTATGAGTTTCTTCTACTTTTACTTCCAGCAATCTCTATCCTTACTGATATAAGGCATTAAATACCTTGCAGGACAGCACCAATTCCATGTGGCCAAATTCAAGCAAATAGCCAACAACTATCCTGCAAATATATCCTTTAGTATTGAGTTCATGATTCTCAATACAAAATGTCCAAAAACTGCTGAAACTCACAACAATAAAGAATTTAGTGCAACAACCAATTCGCATCATTAGAATTTTGGAAAGAGCTGCCTGTTTTTGATCAATTCAGCATTTTTATCCTGTAGATTGTATGTTAACTTCTGACATGTCTGTACTGTTGAAATTTCTTCAGCCTAAGGTGTTCCAGTATGTCTCAGGCACAGGATTTAGTAACACTTTTTGGTGTTTTCTTTGCTCAACTCTCCTCAATTCCACCATTGTGTGTCAAACAAATAAGATCCTTTCACAACCTACTCAATAAGTTTTGAACTTTCTTATCAGCATTTTTGTGTAGGTACCTTCCCTTGCTAAAATATTGTGTGGGTTTGAAGCAGTATCAGCCAGACAATGTCATTGTAAACCTGACCCGACAACAAGCTCACTGAAACCACACTGAGCACCAGCAACACCCCAAAACCAAAATTTTCTGTTCCAACAAACCCCGCCTCCCCTCCTCAAACCCATACCTCCCACACAAACCAGAACATTCACCCCGTGCAGATAACACCACCCTCACATCACCCCAAAACCAGAAACAGGGCTATCCATCCCAACTTCCACAAAACTAGGACCTGCTCACCCAGACTGTATCCACAACAGGACCCCCAACCTCAACAATTCAATCGAGAACTCTCCCTCCTCACAAATGAGGACCCACCCCCATCTCCCCTCCCAAAGACTCTCCCATCTCCAAATCAGGATCTTCTCAGTCCCATGACACCACCACACACACCCACCAACCCTCAACCCCTCTCGCCTCCAAATCCAGACTGTCACCACCAGCCAAACCACCCCCTGCCGCATAGATGATCCCCGGGGTCAGACACACAGCCATCTCCTCTGCAGGAGTTCCTGGTTTCTCCCATTCTCTGTCTACCTATCGCTCTTACATTCTCTCTTCCCCCTCTCGGAGTTTCACACTCACTACCCTCCTTTCCACCCTCACACGATCCTGCATCTCCCCTCTCTCCCACGCGCACGCACCCTCACACGATCCTGCCCTCCCCACTCTCTCCCAAGCGCCCTCGCCCTCACACGATCCTGCCATCCCCACCACATGCACACACTCACTCTCTCTCTCCCTCACGCGCGCACTCTCTCACTCTCACTCTCCCTCTCCCTCACGCGCGCACTCCCTC